ATATGAACTATGTAGCTAACTATGGGGGTCAGAGACAGGGAAATCAGAACTGGGGTCAGCAGAATCAACAACAGTACAGACCATCTCCGCCACAATATAACGCCGGAAACATGGGAGGTATGAGACCCCCCAACAACATGGCTCTGTATCCTAGATCCCAGGGGTACAACAATCAGCAGCAGGGGTATCACCCGCCTCAGCAGCAGCATGGTAGAAGACAGGACGNCTAGACTGGAATGATGCAACAGGTTATTGGGTCCACTGCGAAGATAAATGAGAGAGTAGATGCACATGACGCAGATATCAAAAATATTGAAGTGCAGATGGGCCAAATTTCAATGTCTCTGAATAATCGTCCTCAAGGAACGCTACCTGCAGATACCCAAATCAATCCTAAAGATCAGGGCCCGAAGCAGCTGATGGCGGTGAGTCTCCGTAATGGCAGGGATCTCGATGAAGAGCAGGAGAGAGTTCGTGACAATATACAGGCTAAGACACTTATTCAAGTACCCATTGAGCTGGATGAATCCATAAGGCTGACAGATGTGACAGTCCAGCCAGCTCAGGAAGAAAAGAATACTCAGCAGGAGACCGAGAAAGTTGTTGAAGTAGTTGAAGAGCCAGTAGTAGAGATAGTAGCTGAGAAAGAAAAGTCCAAAGTGATTGGGAAGAAAAGACCTCTTGCACCATTTCCATAGAGGTTGGCTAAACACCAAAAGGAGGAGCAATACAATAAGTTCTTTGAGATGCTCAAGCAAATTCAGGTAAATATTCCATTGATCGAAGCTTTAAAGGAGATGCCTGGATACGCAATAATGATGAAAGACTTAATGTCCCGGAAATTTGACTTCCAAGACTTGGCTACGGTGACACTTACTCAAACGTGCAGTGCAGTGGTAACTAGACCTGTTGCTGAAAAGCTCTCAGATCCCGGGAGTTTTACTATTCCATGTACTATTGGAAACTTTGCTTTTGCGAAAGCACTCTGTGATTTAGGGGCCAGCATTAATCTTATGCCCCTGGTCATTTACAAGAGGTTGGGCATTGGGAGAGCTAGACCCACCTCTATGCTGTTGCAGCTGGCTGACAGGACTGTGAAGCGTCCATTTGGGATCCTTGATGATGTACTTATTCAGGTGGGGAAGTTCGTGTTCCCTNCATTTACAAGAGGTTGGGTATTGGGAGAGCTAGACCCACCTCTATGCTGTTGCAGCTGGCTGACAGGACTGTGAAGCGTCCATTTGGGATCCTTGATGATGTACTTATTCAGGTGGGGAAGTTCATGTTCCCTGTTGACTTTGTGATATTGGATTGCAAATTAGATGAAGAAATTCCTATCATCTTAGGAAGACCATTCTTGGCCACAGGGAGAGCTCTTATTG